AGTCCCAAAGAAGGTGGACCAAGAAGGAACACACCAAGGCACATCATCATTATATAAGCCAAGATTAAAATGAAGGAGAGAATTCTAGAAGCAGCAAGAGATAAGAGGACAGTCACCTACAAAGGAGTTCCCATCAGACTGTCAGCAGATTTCTCAAAAGAGACCTTACAGGCAAGAAGGGGCTGGAAAGAGGTATTCCAAGTCATGAAATCCAGAGACCTACATCCAAGATTGCTCTATCCAGCAAAGGTTTCATTTAGAATGGAAGGGCAGATAAAGTGCTTCCCAGATAAGGTCAAGTTCAAGGAGTTCATCATCACCAAGTCCTTATTATATGAAATGTTAAAGGGACTCATCTAAGAAAAAGAAGGTAAAAAAGATGAACAGTGAAAGGACAGCAAACTCACAGTTACTAAGAACCACACTTAAAACAAAAGCAAACTAAGAGGACAGCTAGATCAGGAGCAGAACCATAAAAATGAAGATCACATGGAGGGTTAGCAACAGGTGAGTGAGAGAAGGAGAAGGGGGGAGAAGGTACAGAAAATAAGCAGCATAGATGGTAGGTAGAAAATAGATAGGGGGGAGGATAAAAATAGTATGGGAAATATAGAATCTGAAGAACTTGAGACACATGGTCATAAACTAAAGGAGGGAATGGTGGGGGAGGGGGTGTGCAGGGTGGAGGGGAATGAAGGGGGGGAATAGAACAACCGTAATGGCATAATCAATAAAATACATTTAAAAAAAGAATATAAGAAACCTATACAGTTTTACTAATCAGTGTCACTCAAATAAATTCAATAATTTTTTTAAAAGGAACATAAGAAAGTTGAAAATATAGAAAAAAATGGGGAAAATGTGTCATTATGAATGTAAAGCCATTTCACAATGATAGATGTTTTAATCCACCAGAAAAATCTCAATCTTAAATGGGTATGAGCTTAATAACACATGAAATATATATAAAACAAAAATAGACTAAGCTAAAAGAAGAAATAAACAAAATTACAATCATAATAAGAAACTTTAATGTCTCAATAATAAGAGAAAAACAGATCTCCAAAATCAGTAACTGGATGATTTGACAAATCATATTTACTAACTTAACCTAAGAAATACATAGAACGCCTGCTCTCAACAATGGCAGGAAACACATTCTTTTCAAGTACAAGAGCATTACAACAAAAAATTATAGAAAAATCTCATGAACATAACTGCAAAAATGCCTGAAAATGTAATAGGATGTCATTATATATTTGTCCAAACCCACACAATATACAACATCAAGAATGAACAGTAATGTAAACTATGATCTTTAAGTGATTATGAAGTTCAATGTAGGTTCATTAGTTACAACAAATGCACCACTCTGGTGTGGGGTGTTGACAGTGAGGGAGTGTGTGCATGTGTTGGGACGGCGGGGATATGAGAAATCTCTACCTTCCCTTCAATTTTGTTATGAACCAAAAACCCAAATTTACATTCTTATAATAGAAATCAGCCGGGCTGTGTGTGTGTGTCAAAAATCAATCAATGTAATTCATCACATTAAAAGAATAAAGGAAAAAATATGATTACCTTGAAAGGTGAAGAAAAAGCATTTGATAAAATTTAACACTGATAAAAAATACTTTTAACAAATTGAGAATACATGGTCATGAGTATATTAAAAGTCCTATAGCAAACATCATACTTAATAGTAAATATTGAAAGCTCTGCCTACCCCCAAAGTGGAGAATCAGACACATATATCCATTATTTCTATTGTAGTCAGCATTCTGCTGGATGCCCTAGCCAACACAATTTGTAATCAACCTTGTATCCCGCAGCTTTCTTGATCTTGTGTATTAGCTTCAACAGTTTTTGTGGATTCCTTAGGATTTTCTGTATATGAGACCAGGCCATCTACAAAGATAGTTTTACTTCTTCCTTTACAATCTGGATGCCTTTTCTTTCTTGTTCTTCCCCAGTTGCCCAGCCACTGCAACTTGGCAAACCAAAAAGGAAGGCATGAAAATTGGAAAGGGAGAAATAAAACTGTCATTTGCAGAGATCATGATTATATATAAAGAATCTAACAAACTACTACAATTTAAGTGACTTTAGCAAGGCCACTCACTGTACAGGAAATCAATACACAAACCCCGTCCTGCAAACCCCCAATCTCTATTGTACTAGCAACAAACACATATAAAACACCTAAGAATAAAGCTAATGAAAGATGTGCAAGAACACTTTGTCGAAAAATCACAAAACAGTTTTAAGAAAACTCGCAAGAGACTTAAAGAAATGAAGGGATGTACCATGTTAATGAGTCAAAGATGCAATATTGTAAAGGGGGTCAAGTGGCCCCCAATCTGGTCTATACATTCAATGAGATACATTTTTTTTAATATTAAATTTTATTTAGTTACTTTTCAAGTACATTTTTTTAATCTATTTCTCCCATCCCACCCCCCCGGTCTCCCCCCTCCCTCCCATTCCCCCCCCCCAGTCCTCATCTCTGTGTCTTTCATACTTGTTCCTCAAAATCCCTCCCCCTTTTTCCCCTTAAGTTCCTTTCCCTCTCCCCTCTGGTCGCTGCCCACTTGTTCTCTATTTCAGTGTCTTTGTTTTTATTCTGTTTGCTTGTTTGTTTTATTCTTTAGCTTCCTGTCAAAGGTGAGATCATATGGTATTTGTCCTTCAATGCCTGGCCTATTTCACTCAGCATAATGCTTTCCAGTTCCATCCATGTTGTTGCAAAAGGTAGTAGCTCCTTCTTTCTCTCTGCTGCATAGAATTCCATCGTGTATATGTACCACAATTTTTTGATCCATTCGTTTACTGATGGGCACCTAGGTTGCTTCCAACTCTTGGCTATTGTAAATTGTGCTGCTATGAACATTGTGGTGCATAGGTTCTTTGAAATTGATGTTTTAGGATTCTTGGGGTATAATCCTAGCAGTGGAATTGCTGGGTCAAAAGGCAGGTCGATTTTTATTTTTCTGAGAAAATTCCATACTGTTTTCCATAATGGTTATACCAGTCTGCAATCCCACCAACAGTGAACTAAGGTCCCCTTTTCCCCACACCCTCTCCAACATTTGTTGTTTGTTGCTTTGTCTATTATAGCCATCCTGACTGGTGTAAAGTGGTATCTCTCAATGAGATACATTTAAATTCTAGTACTTTTTTGTGTGTGGAAATTGATAAGCTGATTCTAAAGTGTTGTATGAAGATGCAAAGGGCTTCTTTCTGCTGGGGTCAGTTGGGGACAGGATCTGAGAGAATCCAGGCCAGCTCTCTCTGGTCTGTGGGGAGCATCTATGTACTTTTCGCCTTGACAGGGGCCAGCCCAACATAGCAACCCCTTCTTCCTCCCCGTCACAATGGAGAGCCTGCCAGTCTCTTGCCATTGAGATTTTTCAGCGTGAGTCAGGCACACCAGTGCACTTTGTCCTACGAAGGGGATGCTCTCCAACTTTTCCAAGTCCTAGAAAGGCCCCTGATAGTCATGAGTCTCATCATGAGTGTGATTGGCATCTGTCTCAGGACCCCAGGTAAAAGGGAAACAGTTCCATTTGAATAGCCTGCTAAAAATCATATGGTGTATTCCTGTTATGTGTAAGCTATTAACAGTTACTGGTGTGTGGACTGCATTGGAAGTGTGCCTGTGAAATAAGTGAGAAAAAGCAAAGACAGATATTCTGTCTGCACGGACCATTGCTAGGAAAGGCTCTATTTGTGCATTAACTAGGACTGGAAGTCCAGTGAAAGAGGTAGAAACTGAGTGTAAGGTTCACTTCTGTCTTTTGCTGAAGTTGCTTCACTGTGTAAGAAAAGAGATGATGTTGGTTTAAAGGTTTGTTCTAGTTACAAAATAACAACGCATAGACTCTGCAAGTTCAAATTGCCTGTTAAGTAACATTGACTAGCGCAAGGCTTGCTCCTTACCTTGAGTATAATAGCACAGGGGTTGATGACCATGGTTTGTGGACATTTCCATCTTAATGAATTTTATACCAACACCTACCACAGCACAGTTATCATAATGGAATTGCTAGGTTTATGGGGAAAGTTCTCAGCTCAATGGGCTAGGTTTTGACCATGTGTTTTCACCACTTCTGCCTAAACTAAGTGTACCAGGAGCTGACTGTTGTGAACCAGCACCTGTGAGATCAGGGGTGTGAGATGTTGGACTCTAGAGGGGAGGGCACGGCTGTGAACCACACTTGGCTTGATGTAGGGGCAGGATTTGACAGAGCCCCCAGGAGGGACCTAACACACAGATGAGGCCTTCCTAACCTGACACTGGGAGCTGATGTCCAGAACCTGGACCGGCTGCTCGCAGCTGTGTCCTGCAGATCCTGAAACAGTGAGTCCCCATCCCCGGGAGCTATCTCTCCTGAGCTGTGGGTGTGTGGTATGGCCCAGGCATCCTGGGACTGTCCCACATCTACAGGCAGAACCCCATTTTCAGGCTGTGCTATTTATTATGGACCAACTGAAATAAGTGCTTGAGATATTCCTCCCACACCCCCCACACCCTTATATTTCCTACAGAGCAATTTGTTTTCTCTCCTAGACAGAAAGCAGAGAAACCACAGCTGAAAAACTGCAGCTTTGGCCTCAGAACATCATCAGCTTTCCAAGATGGTGAGACCTGAGTTTCCTCTGCATTTCCATTCAGCACACGCAACTATGCTATTGTTCAATAGACTATTTCTTCCCAATGCCTGATATTCCAGTCCAGATTTGAACTGTGATGACCAGGAGCTCAGATTCTAAGCCCAGGCAGCTCATGGGAGAAGAAGGACAGAGTGAGTTGGGAAGATCTCTCAGGCTGGGGAGTTGTCACCTCCTCTGTCCTGCATAGTAGCTCTCATCCCTTTGTGTCAGGCTACCCCACAGCCCAGTGAGAAGCTGGAAGATTGGAAGAAGTGTCCAGGACAGTGGCTGTCATCCATGACCCTGGGGAAAGTGGGCTCCTGAGCAGACCTGAGGTCTCACCCCAGTCAGGACTCTGTGGTGTGGCAGGGTGCATGCCAGCATTTCACCAGTTCCTTGGGCTTGCTGAGCATATTGGTCCAGTGCTCCAGCTCTCTGCCTTGGCCATACACGTAGGGGCCCACCACCACACAGCCCAGCTGGAAGCTCCCTGAAGGGGAGGGACAGCAATGTCATTCTCTGGGGCACAGAAGCCACATCACCTCAGGCATCCCCAGTGCCCAATCTCTCTCTCTGCCCCTTCCATCTCTCTTATTCACTCCTCCCCTCCAAGGAAGTAGCCACCCCCTCCCTCTTGGAGTTTCAGCTGACAGTGTGCAAAGAGACCCTGACTTTGCCCTGGAGCTGGAGATGGCAGGGTTGGGAGGAGGGTGTGTAGAGGAGCAGTAAGCCCAGGTGAAGAGCCAGACACTCAGGGACACCCACTCTGTCCCTCACGCTCCTGCTGGGCCGTCTCAAGCCTGCCTCACTTCAGAGCCAAGACACTAGGGGCCCCTCCACAAAGAAGCCTTCTTGCATCAGCACACTTATACATTCAGGGGAACATTCAACAAAGTTTTCACCCTCCTGCTGTCACAGTGGAGAAGGTAGCTCTGGCCCAGGAGACCAGCTGACTCTGCTTCCCTGGATGGTGACTGTGGACAGTGGGATATGGGGCAGTGTGAGGGAACTGCTGGGAAAACTCCCAAGACTTGAAAGCTGTCTGAAGGCATGAGGCAATGCAGGGAACACAGTGACCCACAGCATCAGGTCACTTGACCAAGGGGAGGCAGCCATGCTGCCTCCCAGACTCTTGCAGTTTGCCACAGGAGGGGTGGCAGAAGTCGTCCTCTTTGTGGGGTACCACAGTAAAACCAGATAAAGATGGGTGTGAATCCCAGCTCTCTCACTAGCAAACTGGGTCCTTGGGCAAGTGTCCCAGCCTCTCTTAGTGCTAATTTCCTTAGGGAGCAGGACAGATACACAGAGCTCTCCTGAGGAGCCATGCTGCCTGAATGCTCAGCATCCCCCCCAGGCCTGTTGCCCCACCCCCTGGGGTCAGGAGCAGGCTTACTGTCCCCTTCAGTGTCCTGCAGCACTACCAGGCTGAGGCTGGCAGTGTCCAGTTCTGCAGGGTCAGCCTTGAAGCTGAAGGTCTTGCTGTATACAGGGTTGGCAGAGCCCAGCACAACGAAAGTCTTCTTGCATTTGACAGACTTGTTGTGGTTCATCAGGGACACTTTGACAAACACACCTGAGGGGCAGTATAGACAGAGGACTGAGGGGTACAGGCAAGGGCCCAAGTCTCTGGCCTGTGGGAGGTCTGGGGGGACTCATGTCACCCCACTGCCAAGATCCCGTTACTCACAGCTGCTACAGCTAAAGGGCGTTACAAGAGGAAACAGGGCTGATTAGTGCACTGCCTCAGGGTGGAGGACACGCTCAGCTCCCTTCCTCTTCCTCTCTACCTCCCAAACCACCCACAGCTTGGCTGGCTCTTTGTTTCCAGAGGCCTGGCACCATGCACTCATTCCTCCCAGTTGAGTGCTGGGTGCTCAGGCTCCTGGGGCCCCTTAAACACCTTTCTCCTTCAGAGAGCCAAGTGTTTTGGGGTGGAGCTCAGATAGGTTTTAGATCAGCAGTGGACCATTAAATGCCAGCTCACTTAAGATACAAAGACTCATAGGTAGCCAACAGCCAACCTTCACTTAGATGCAAAGGCACACAGGTGGCAGACAACGGTCACCATGTGAGAGGCCCACATAGGGGTGGGATGTGTGCAGTGAGCCAGTGCAGGGCCTCTGCTCCTCCAGCTCCTGGGTTCTAGGAGGCTGGAGGAAGCAGAGAGCCATTAGCCCTGCCAGCCAGGGGTACCTCTTCTTCCAGAAGAGTGCCATGTCTATGTCCAGGGGAACCTTTCTGGGGGCAGGAAGATGTGGGGCCTCACTCTGGAGAAACTGGATCCCTTCATAGAACGGCAGGTATAATAAGGGTGGGCAGTACAGTTCAAGGAGCCAAGACCCTGCCTTCAGAGAAGGAAGGAGCTGACTCAGTCTCAGGTCTTACAGGTCTTGCAGGAGGCCACAGGGACGCAACATTGGGTTTGACATAAGGAAATGAATTCTCACACCAACGTCCACAGAGGCAGGGCACAGATCATAAGACACTGAGTGCTTTGCGATGAGTATGCAAGTAGAAACTGGATGGCCAAGCATGAGGGTCAGACTCTAGCCCCAGCCCCAAGCTTACAGGGCAGGATCTGCCCTGAGGGGAAAACTTACTGACCCACCCCTGTTGTCTTGGAGCTTCAGGCCCTTGGCACGCAGCACAACCACAGTAAGATGGCTCAGGTGGTCATTGTAGCTGAGGCAGAACTGGAGGTTGCCAAACTCTGAGGGGGGCTGGAGATGCCGAGAGGAAGGTACCATGTCACACTGGCATGTGCTGGGAGGGTCTCACTGCCTTCTTCCTTCCTCCCAATAGTCAGGCCCAGGGGACCAGGTGACATACCCACTTCATACCCATTTTCCCTCCTTTAAATTCACCCACCACTTTACAGATGGACAAACTAAGGACTGGAGGGCTGAAGGGATCTGCTGGAGAACACACAGTGGTGAGGACCAGAGCTGAGGCTTCAAACCCAGGTCTGGAGGATTTCAAAGCCTATTCTGAGCCATGGATCTTTCCTGAGGGTTGGGGAAGGCAGATAAATATATTTTTGGTGGTCCATCTGTAGTATTGCCTTTCACAGCTATCTGATCTGGATGTGGAATCCAAAAACAGATTTTTCAAGTCGTTCTAGGTAATATGACATCAGGGCAAAAGAACTCCTTGCCCAGGAGTGACTCCACACACCCCTTTTATCCATGCGGCTCAACCCAGGCCCACCACCCAAGTCACACTGTAGGTGTGTTGGCCCACCCCTGCTGGCTGCCCATGGTAGTCTAACACTCAGTAGCATATGTGTGTAGTGACCTTGACCTTTACCTCCAGGCTCTCAGCCTCTAGGTCTCTCCAGATAATGTGCTGACAGTCACATGCCAGGGTCTCATTTTTCAGAGGGAAGAGCATCTGGCCCAGGGGCTGGTGCTTCCTCTGCCTGTACACATGGTACACCGAGAACCTCAGTACCCCCGAGTGATGCTCTTGCTAGATACCTAGGGGAGATGAGGGCCAGGCCGGGGACAGAATTGGGGCCAAGAGATAGGGTGGTGTGCACACTGTTCTGGACACAGGAGTTTTTGGTGAGGGGTGTCTCAACCAGAGATTTGTATACCCTAAACCCAGGCATCTTTGAGGAACCTTCACAGCACTGTACTTGCCATGTACAGTGTGGTCTGAGGATCAGCAGAATTCACCACCCTCTGGACTGTGTTAGGAATGCAGGACCTTGGGGAGCATGCCAAACCCACGAAGTCTAATCTACCGTTTCATAGGACCTCTCAGTGATTGGCCTGCACCATAGGAGTGTGAGAGTTCCCGCAGTGGAGCCTAGGGAACCTGTCTGTCTCTGCTATCTGGGTTGGGCACCCCAATTGCCCTCTTCCTGAGACTCAGTCTCATCATCCTGAAATGGGATAATGGCTCTTACTTTCTGGGTTGTAAAACCCACACACAGTGTCTGACCTAGCACAGGTGGTCAATTAATATTGATTTTCTTCTCTTCTTTTCCTCCTTCCCTTCCCCCTTAAAGCACAAGGGAGGGTCAGGATCAAGTTAATGCAGGGACAGGGCAGGGAAGTGATGAGCGAAGAGGAGTAAGTATGTAAACATGACGTGTGGCCGTGCTGATTAGCCAGCCTGCACACCTGGGGTCTTGCTGACCTGACAAAAATAGGTTCACCTGTGAATTCTAACAGCCTTGGCCCCAGCAGTATGGCCAGGAGCTGAGCCCCATGTGACCCCTCTTCTCAGCTCTCAGCCTCAGAAGAGGGCAAGAATCAGGGCTCTGGCCTCTGCAGTCACACTCTTGCTGGATGCTGACAGGCTTCTCCTTATCTTGCAGCCAGCCCGCTGCCCAGTGCTTAAAAATGTTTGTCCCTCCCTGGCTGGTGTGGTTTAGTGGACTGAGTGCCAGCCTGAGAACCAAAAGGTCTCAGGTTCGATTTCCAGTCAGGGCACATGTCTGGGTTGTGGACCAGGTCCCCAGTTGGGAGCGAGCAAGAGGCAACTGATCCATATATCTCTCCCACTTTGATGCTTCACTTTCTCTCTTTCTCCTTCCCTTTCCCTCTCTCTAAAAATAAATAAATAAAATCTTTTAAAAAAGTGTTTGTCTAAGGCCTCTCAGGAGCTCTTGATGGCTCGCTTCCCAAAAGGGCCCCCAGTCACCTGCTGAGGCTCCCAGGCCACTGTGAGCTTGGCTCAGTGACCTCATAGCCACAGTACCTCCAGACCCTGAGCCAGGGAGCCCAACATACAGCCAAGGCACTTGGGTCCTGTGTTGGTCTCTGACAGAATAGGTGAGTTTCTGTCTCCATTCCAAGAGGCCTGGAGATGTCACCCTCTACCTTCCTTGGATATCCTTGCCAGAAACCTTATAGTGCTCCAGGGCTTTGGAGTGCTTCCTCCATATCCCATTGGCCAGGAACTGGCATTCAGTAAGTGAGTCAATTTTTTTTTGTCTCCTCCATGCAGCCTGGGCAGGAGGATCCTGGCCTTCTTTCCTCTTACTCTCCAAGTCTCTCCCCTGCCCCTGCCACTGCCATTGGAGTTCAAGGTTCTTCAGGTCCTGACCTGAGGGGCAGGGTAAGGCAGGCCTGTGGCTCAGGGATTCTGGGGGCTGCAGGACCCTGGCTAGTATGGAATGCTGGGGTTCTCTTGAAGGATGCCTGCTCCTTCCCAGACCCTGCCTGCTCCAGACACTGTACATGGAAGATGAAGTGTTCATCAAACTGAGGGTTGGCAGTTCTGTGTTTGGCCTTGGACTGGAGGAAGTACCGCTCATCTGGCAGCAGGTGGAGCTTCACCAGTGGGCTGCAGGGCTCTGAGGGAGCTTCTAGCCACTGTGCCTTGATCAGGCCCACCAGCAGTTGCTCAGCCTCCTGCTGGTATTCCACAGAGATCCACAGCCACCCCAGGCAGCTCTCTGGGAAGTGGGTCTCACCGTTGTCTTCTGAGAACTTGTATAGCTCTGGATTAATGGTCCCCACCACACATGCATCTCCTGCAACACAAGGTGGGAAGTCCGACAGGCCAGAGGAAAGCAGAGGCCTGGGGACAGCAAGCTCTGGGCTTTACTGCCCTCTCCTGGCCCATTCTTTCTTGGCTGAGCTTTGACTAGGCCTCTCCTGTGGCCCCTCCTGACCACACCAAGTGGTGTGGCCCACTTGCTTCTCCTGACTGAACGGAGTCCCTCTCTGTAGTGCAGCTCATCTAGGAGGCCTCACACTAAGGTATTGTCCATCCAGGCCTGCTCCTCTCTGGGTCCCCCAGCAGAGGCCTCAGTATTCATTCAGCTCCTATCCCCTGTGATTAATCCCCATCCTCAGAGGTCAGGGCCTGCTTGGTGGGTGATCACAGTGCCCAGCACCTGGTCTGGCCCCTCTCTGTGGTGTCCAGAGGATGTCTCAGTGATAAAGTGTTGCCTCTTTTCTTTCTCTTCAAGTTAGGAGGACCAAGAAGGACTGGTGGTTCCTTGGAAGCCTTCAGAGCAAAAGGGGTGGGCAGAGAGCCGTGCCCAGCTCCAACCATCTGCTCTCTCCATCATCTTGGAACAGGACCCAGTTCAGGTCCTGCTCCCAGAAACACCAGGGCTCTATTTTCCAGATGTTTACTGCCTCGCCTCTGTGGCCTCGGGCAAGTCATGGCTAACCTTTCCAAGTCTGTTTAAGGATGTGTAAAATGGGGTGACAGTCCCTCTTCCTACAGAGGCACAGTGAAGTCTAATTCCAAAAGGGCACATGAGGCTGTTTTAGGCCCCAGCTGGTGTGCAGCAGACACTTGGCAAACTCAAGTACCTGGAAAGAGTGGCCAATTCTGGCATCCCTAGGCCCATCCAGGCAATGTTCCAGAGCCAGGGCCGAGACAGCAGATGGGTCTGTCCTGGCCTGAGCAGACTCTGACGTCTGGGCAGGCCCTAGTGGAAGGACTCACCAAGGTGGCTCCTGCTGGTGTGGGGCAGGAGCTCCAGGGCTGGGCAGAGGTCCTGTTGGTCCTGGGCCCACTCTCCGCTGTGCAAGGGCACCCACTGTTGACTTTGGAGGGAAGGGAGCACCACAAATGGCACATCTGGTGGCCTATCCAGAAGCAGAGTGATGACATATAGGTGGCAAAGGTATGGTGTGGCCTCGGAGCACTTGCCCAGAGGGGTTCACTACCAGAGCCAAGAACTCTGCCCACAGCAGTGGCGAGTGGGAGGGGCACAGTCTCTGGAGTCAGACTGCCTGGGTTTGAATGCTTGTTCTCCCACTTACTTCTTATGTCCTCCGAGTCTCAGTTTTCTCAGCTGTACAATAGGCTTCATAATGTCTATCTCATGGCTGTGGTGAGGATTCTGGGGTTTCTTTGTAATAGTTCCTAGCATGGCAACAGCACAGAGGCTGTGCTTCATAAACAGACCTTTCCTTCCTGCCCCACTTCAAGGGAAATGACATAGGGAGGGTACTAAGCAAGGCCAAGGGGCTTGCTGGGCCCCACATCCTGTCTCACCTGCTTGTCTGGGGCCTGCCATGCAGGAAGCAGAGCTTGCGCCCCTGTGGGCTGGAGGCAGCCTGGGTCCCTGGCAGCTTCTCATAGGTAAACATGGCACAAATCCTCTTCCAGAGACAGCAGCTCACTGTGATCAACCACAGCAGCAGCAGCACACCCCTAAAGATTCCCCCAGTCAGCAGGGCCACCTGCTCTGGGGGTGGAGACCAATAGGTCTGTGATGCCCCTTAACACCACTGGCCTTCCGGGGACAGAATTTGGACAGCAGGCTTTCTGGGTCTGCTGGCTGGGCTTTGCTAGGTATCAACTGAAAAGTCATTTTGGGGGGGGGGGTCCAAGTGCCCTAGGCAACAACTTCTGGTTTTCTGTGGAAAGCAGCTGTGATTCTTGCTGAAATGAGCCACTTTCTTGTGCTTCTGAGTAGAAATTAAACTTTTACCAGAACCTCCATTTCCCCTGGAATTCTTTTATTTATTTTTAAAAAAATGTATTTTACTGATGATGCCATTACAGTTGTTATATTTCCCCCCTTCATTCCCCTCCACCCTGCACACCCCTCCCCCACCTTCCCTTCTTTAGTTTATGACCATGTATCTCAAGTTCTTTAGATTCTATATTTCCCATACTATTCTTGCCCTCCCCCTATTTTCTACCTACCATCTATGCTACTTATTCTCTGTACCTTCTCCCCCCTTCTCCTCCTCCCACTCCCCTGTTGCTAACCCTCCATGTGATCTTCATTTCTATGGTTCTGCTCCTGATCTAGCTGTTCTCTTAGTTTGCTTTTGTTTTAGGTGTGGTTGTTAATAACTGTGAGTTTGCTGTCCTTTCACTGTTCATGTTTTTTACCTTCTTTTTCTTAGAGAAGTCCCTTTATCATTTCATATAATAAGGGCTTCGTGATGATGAACTCCTTGAATCTGATCTTATCTGAGAAGCACTTTATCTGTCCTTCTATTCTAAATGAAACCTTTGCTGGATAGAGCAATGTTGGTTGTAGGTCTTTGGATTTCATGACTTAGAATACTTCTTTCCAGCCCCTTCTTGCCTGTAAGATCTCTTTTGAGAAATCCACTGACAGTCTGATGGGGACTCCTTCATAGGTGACTGTCCCCTTATCTCTTGCCACTTCTAGGATTCTCACCTTCATTTTAATCTTGGCTAATGTAATTATGATGTGCCTTGGTGTGTTCCTTCTTGGGTCCAACTTCTTTGGGACTCTCTGAGCTTCCTGGATTTCCTGGAAGTCTATTTCCTTTGCCAGATTGGGGAAATTCTTCTTTATTATTTGTTCAAATAAGTTTTCTACTCGTGGCTGTTTCTCTTCCCCTTCTGGTATCCCTATAATTCTGATGTTGGAATGTTTAAAGATGTCCTGGAGGTTCCTAAGCCTCTCCTCATTTTTTTGAATTCTTGTTTCTTCATATTTTTCTGTTTGGTCATTTTTTTCTTCCTTCTGGTCCACTCCCTTGATTTGAATCCCAATTTCCTTTCTACCACTATTGGTTTCCTGCGCATTTCCCTTCATTTCAATTAGTTTAGCCTTCATATGTTCCTCTAATTTGTGACTAAAATCAACCAGTTCTGTGAGCATCCTGATAACCAGCGTTTTGAACTGTGCATCACCAGTGTTTTGAACTAAAGCCAAAAAAGTTTGGCTATTTCTTGGTTGCTTAGAGTTATAGGCTCTGGGGTTTTGAGTTCTTCTTGAGCCATGCTTTGGTCTGTTTGTGCCTGTTACATATGAGGAGTGGAGCCTCAGGTGTTCCCCAGGGTGGGGCCACCCAGGTCGTTGGGTTGTGATGCTGTATGTGGGGGCGTGGTAAAAGAGGGGCAATAGTGGTCCCCTCTGCTGCTTCCCACTTCTGGAGCCTGCGTGTTCTATCTCACTGCTCGCTCCTTTGCTTATCTGCACGAAAATGTGCGACCGCAATCAGCCTGCCACCTTCACTGGGTCCACCCATTGCTACCTCACACCTGGGATCCACCCATGGTTGCCTGCAGCACCTGGGTTGGGGATCTTTCCTGCCTGACCACTCCACCTGGGTGCTGGCTCCACCCCTCTTACCAGTCTGGCTGAACCGTTTGTTGTTGTCGAACTTCAGTATAGTTCAATTTTCTCTGTTTTGGCTTCTTTTTTTGTTACTAAAACTTTGTTGTCTTTAAACTTGGTTGTGTGAGAAGGCACAATGTTTCCACCTATGCCTCCATCTTGGCGTAAGTTCCCCTGGAATTCTTTTCAGACTTGAGGGTAGGCTGGGTGTGGGCACCAGGCACTAAAGGAAAGCTGAGGAAGAGGTGATGCCCTGGGTGACTGACACTCAGAACCATATCCTTTGGGGTCCTGGAACTTGCTGAGGGGCTGGACTCATGTTTGAATTCTGTAATTTTCTCTAAAACCTGCTCCTTCCCTTAACTCTATCAGCATACTTTAGGGAGTCCAGGGGAGGCGCTTGAGGGGTTGTGGACCAGGATGGGGACAGCAGGTGTGAGAAACAGAGACACAGAGAGGATCCGTTGCATCTGGCACCTAACCGCCACATTTTCAAGGACTTGGGAGGCTCTACCCAGCCTGCATGGAGAGCGCTGGGACACTTGGTCTCAGGAGCAAAGAAGGGGGCTTCCTTTGGCTCACATGCTGGCGCCAGGCTTCCAGGTTGCTCTGGACCTCGTGGAGAGGTGAGAGAACAAGGCCTCCACACCTCCTGATACTCTACTGGCCACCAGGGTCTGGCCTCACTCTCCACTCCACTCTGGACACCACTAGGACCTGGGGACAGGACAGGGGCTACGTCCCAGTGGGGGCTGGCGGGGTGGAGGAAAGTGACCTAGGGGACCGAGTGCCTTGCTGGGGACAAAGGTGGGGAGACTGCGCACTAACCAGCCAAGGGTCTGCTCCGGCTGGCACACGGTGCGGGCCGGGTTTGGTCTCTCTGATCTCTGCGCCTCCCGCCGCCGCTGTGAGACAGGGTGTTAAGGCACTTCATGGGGTTGTAGGTGGGCGTGGGGGGGCTGTCTCTGGACATGCTCTAGCCCTGACATGGTGGAAGGTGGGGGCAGGAACTTGGCGCCAGGAGGCTGCGGCCCGCCCTGGCCTGGCCATGGCTTGGGCTTGGCTTGGGGGGCGTGGAGCAGACCTGGCGCTCTCGGAAATCTCTGGGATCCAGGCAGGACAGGGCAGGCGCCTGGGACTCCTTGTAGCTGCAGACCGGAGAACAGAGCCCGTGCCTTCTCCGCCTGCTTCAGCTAGAGGGCTACCTGCCTTGTTACACCTGGCAGCTGGGGCAAACCCCGCCTAGGTATGCTCTTCACCTGCTGCAGCAACTTTGAGGGTTGAAGCTGCGGGCTCCAGGGGCCTCCCGGATCCCGGGGCCTAGTTCCCGGGCCTCAGCTCCGTGCTGCCCGCCTGACCACCTCAGGCGGTGGGCGCACGGCGAGTTGAAGTGTCCAGGCTCCCATCTCAGTAGACAAAACAATGAAGCGTGGAAAGTGTGGCTTCTGAAATCCGACCAACCTGGGTTCCAACCCTCGCTCCCCAAAGCGCCGGCTGTACTATTTGGGCGATTTATTTCAGGTCACTTTACTCAATCAGGTTAATAATAGCACTCACTCTAAGGTTAGTGTATGTACAGGGGGCACTTAGAGCCGTGACTGGACCAAGGGAGAGGGAGCAGGGCATGTCATCCCTTTCATGGTGAGTATCTAACCCAGGGTGGCATTGCCGGGTCCCCTCCGCACCTTCAGAACCTATAATTATAGTAATTATTATCAGACTGCAGGGACAGCGCCAGTTGAGGCTGTTGACCCAACCTTGGCTGAGAGGCTCCGGTAAGCACCACCCCCCCCCAGGTCCTCTGCCTGCTCCCACCAGCATGCGCCCTGAGTGGGGGATGCGCCTCCTCTTGGAGCCTGCACAGCATTTCGTTGGAGGACTCTGAGAGTGTCTGAGAATGAAGGGCCTGTGGACTCAGAAGGAGCTATGCTCAGGTTTCTGCCAACACTGTCCATGTGGCAAACATTCAGGGCCCAGGCTTTGAGCCTGATGGGAGCTCCCTGGCCTACTCTGGAGACCAGCTGTGGGGTCCTGCACTCACGTTGCTGGCTCTGTCTGCATGCGCCTTACACATTCAGCCAGCCTGCTGCTGAGTTGTTTTTTTAATATATAATTCTCACCTGATGATATGTTTATTGATTTGAGAGAGAGAGGGAGAGAGCCATCGATATGGGAGAGAAACATTGATCTGTTGCCTCCCATAGGTGCCCTGACCAGGAACCAAACCCACAACTCTTTGGTGTCTGGGATGACACTCAACAACTGAACCACCAGGCTAGGGCCAGCCTGCTGAGGTTTAAGCCTTTTTCCCCCTTTGGGATATAAGAACCGGTGGCAAGAAGGAACTCACCTTTCTTGCCGCTCCTTATTGTTTGGGCATTATGACACAGTCTTGATATATAAGATCCCATCAATCCCTGTCTCATGTCAGCCCTGCAGGGTAGGTACCACCCCCTCAGATGAGGAAACTAAATTATAGAGATTCCCTGGCCCATCCAGTAAGTGGTAGAACTGGACCTGTCATCTGGCCCCCTCATCCTTACCTCTACACTGACCATCTGAGGAACCCATCCATGCAAGGTCCCAGGAGACCATTTTCTGTGGCGATGACCATGAACTAGGCCAAAAGCCATGGTCACTGTGGTCATTTTCCCTCTGTCCACTGTCTCACTGAGGCTCTGAGACCAGGCTGCCCTGGAGCCGACTCCACATAGCAGAATGGCTTCCTGATTTGCTGCTCCCTGGCTCTGCTTCCTGTTTTCAGACTTTGTTCCTTCCTGGGTCTCTGGAAGCTGGGAAATCTGGAAACATCGGTAGACATGGCTTCTTTTTTCCATGGCCAAAAGGAAGTCATATTTCCACTGGCAAAAGCACTTCCAAGGAGGGTTGCAGGAAGTCCAAGTGTTTAAAGGCCTGTAAATGCCTGCAGATGATTAATAATTCAGTGTGATAGATGATTCAGGAGAAAGGCAACTTTCAATTAACCTTAAGAATCAGCCCCATCCGAGGAAGTGTCATCTCTCATCATTTAGAAACAGAGGCTAGAGCAGGATAAAGACATGCTGAGAAACACGAGGAAGTCTGCATTTCTCACATTTATATAAATTCCATCCTGGTCACCCCAGGTGCCTCTTTGTGAGGTGAGAAGGACTCTCCCACTCCTAGCATCATCTCTTTCCTCTGGTTTTATTAGGGTGGCTTAAGTATGAATTTCCTCTAGCCCCTTCTGTGGAGGAGCTTGGAGGAAGTATCTGTCCTTGTGTCTTACTTCAAATATGTCCCATCCTGTGGACAACTACTGAGTGTCCCAGGATGGAGCTCAGACCTCATGGTTCACTCCTGCCTCCCAGGAGTGTTCTATGTCTTGCTGCCTTGGTCTCCCTCCTTCCTGCCCCTGCCTGGCAGCTTTTTTTCTTCGTGGGAATTACATTCTCTCCTCCAGTCCACATAGTAGCTTGTAGAAGCCAGTCTCCTCTCTTTCCCCACATTACCACTTCGTCTTGGTTCTGGGGTTTTGCATGTGGTTCAGGGATGAGCTATGACCTAATCAGAGTCAACCCTGGAAGTTTTGTGGGGTCTGCAGGGCAAGAGACACCCCTTTTTCTGTGGGAGTTGCTGGGATGAGGGACAAAGACAGTGAGGAGCATGGAGCAGAGCTGGAAGCCCGGTGCTGCTGCTGATCCTGGTCCCATGTGCTGGCAGCCACCTGTCCGTGGATGAATCAATGAATTACCTTTTTTTTCTGTTTCCCAAGCTAATATGTGTTTATTTCTCCCACCTGTAACTAAGAGCCTTAATTAAGGCAGGAGATGAAAGAAGGGGCAGGTTCTGTGAGACTTACTTCCATTTACCAGTTGGAAGGTGAGGGACACTGTGGTGATGAGTTGCCCAAGGCCACTTAGCTAGGAGTGACTGACTTGTTTAACATCATCTGTAAGGTTTACTTTCAGAGCAGAAATCAGGGACCGAGGCAAGGCTTGTCTTTTCTTTCTTTTTTTTTATATTTTATTTATTTGTTTTTCGATAGAGGGGAAGGGAAGGAGAAAGAGTGGGAGAGAAATATCAATGTATGGTTGCCTCTCATGCATCCCCTGCTGGGAACTGGCCTGCAACTCAAGCATGTGCCCTGACTGGGAATCGAACCACGATACTCTGGTTCGCAGGCCCGTGCTCAATCCACTGAGCTACACCAGCCAGGGCAAGGCTTGTCTTTTCTTAATCGTCACCTCTGGCCATGCAGCAGTCTCAAGGATTGTTGGCCATTCAGGGTTGTAGTCTTATCAACCAGGGCCATGGCAAACAACAGTTAATTTACTACTGAGCCTCCAATATCCACCCCACTCCTGTTCTAGCTTTTCAGTTGCACCTTTTGTGAGGTGCAGCAATGTGCTCGACCCCAGGGGTGAATCTGAGTGGTCCAGGCCCTGCAGGGCTCTTTCATGCCCCCTTCCTAGATTCTGACCTGACCAGCCTTCTCTACAGCTAGGAGTGGCCATAGGACAGTGTTTTAAACCAATGAGATACATGAGGACATCTTCCAGGGGGCTGCTGGGGGCTGCTGGAAAAGGCTTAAAAAAATGCATCAAGATGCTAAATTGATGTTTTGGCTAAAACACTAGGAAGTTAGCTATCAAATTTTAAAGGATGTTGATAGACTATGATGCAGATTTTTAAAGGTGGCTGAGAACCAGTTGGACAATGTGCCCATAGTGAGAAAGAGAAGGCTGGGAGAGTGGAGGAGAGAAAGGACTTGTGATATTCCTTTGGTGAGGGCTGGGGTTGTTATGAGGGACTATAACAGGGTACAGCCAAGAGTGGGGCCCAAAATAAGGATTTGGAATGGGGTCCAGAACTCGAGGTGTCCAGGAAATATTAGAAAGATATAAAGGATGTCCTTCCCCCTCCCCCTACAGGTGTGACTCAGGGGAAGGGACATGGAACAGGAACATACAGAGCTGTTTTGTACAGCAACAACTTTGCAGCTAACCTCTGGTATGGTCATTTAACATATCTATAACCTTTAACTGCTTTCATAGATATGTTAAATAGCTGTGGCGATGCCTTGAGCCAGGGGCATGGAAGTGACTTCCATCCAAGTTGTAACTGGAGGGCAGGTCCCCCTGGTTACAGCGCCTACATGAGAGCTTGGACAAGATTGGCTCCAGGCCATGAGGCCACACCTGCTCAGACTCACTATGGCAGCCCAGTAAATTTGGAATAATACAGGAATGCTGGCAGGCATAACTGATTGTAGGAGAAGGTGGAAATGGGGGTACAGAGGAAGATTTAGTGCTGAGATTAAACCCAGACATGGCAGCCATTGGGAAAAGAATCACATGGCTTTGGCCAGTGTGGGGACCCCTACAGCTTTGCCAAGAGAGAGCCACGTGGTTTTGGCAGAGTGGAGACCTCCACAGCTTTGCAAAGGTGAGGACCACATGGCTTTGGGGTGCACCCTTTGGCCATGTGGCCTAGGAAGTAGGAGAGACTTTGCCTGGAAGAATGGTGCAAGGACTTTTGTTGGTGGGCCATGAGGAGGTGCCACATGACTTTGGATTAACTGGAGATCCTGCCTGGACATCAACACAGCTGATGCTGCCAGGAACCTGAATCACTGATGTCTACTTCTTTTCCTGAGATACAGTATTCCAGATTAGGACAGAGGGAGAAGGAAGGACTGTGTGCGTCTGTGGGTATCCTAAAGGACTTTGATATTTTAATGAAGACATTAGGTCACTACTTTAAGTCTGTGTAGCTTTAAATAAACATTTCCTTTCCTTTTCACAAGTCTCTGGCATTGAGAGACGGCTTCTTTCCTCTGGTGGCAGACAATGGGAACCTAGTGGGGAGTCCTTTTGGTAATAGTACATCGTACCCCCCTTGGCTCTGGTTCTGTCATAGGACCTCCACCAAGGGTGTTAGATGGAGTAGCTACTCCCTCCCCTCAAGCCCAGAGGGTGCTGGCTTCAGCAG